TTGGCTGAACAAAATAACGAGTTGTTGATGAAAAATCATGAATCTAGACCCACGGGGTCTACTGCGGTCCCTGAAATAAATGTTGTAATATCTAAACAGGGAACCGAAACTAAAAACAGCCAGACATATGTGCGTGGAAATACCTCGGGACGTGACCGGGGTCGTGGACGTGGACGTGGCCGTGGCCGTGGATATGGCCCAGATCGCCGATTTGACCAAGGCTTCAAATTTCACATAGGGTACAACTCGGGCCGAGGGAATTATCGTGGACGAGGCCGTGGCTATGTCCATAATTTTGAAAGGGGGAGAAATTTTAAGCCAAAATTTGAACAAAATAATGTGACGGAAAATAATAATGAAAATGCATGTTATCGATGTGGAAAGACGGGACATTGGGCACGAAACTGTCGTGCTCCGAAACACGTTGTTGATAAATATAATGATTCCCAGAAATCAAAAGATAAAAATGTAGAAACTAATTTTATAGTTGGGAAATCCTCTAAAAATAATACAACACGTGTAGATGATGACTATGGCATCGATGACATGTTGAACCTGGATTTTGCTGATGCGGTATTTGAAGCAAGAGCTGGAAATGAACAAGAGAACAACTGATTATCCTGTTTCTTTTATTGCTTTCTAAGTTTTTTTTTTGTTGTATTTGCGTATTTGTACTAGTTGTATCTGTATTTCAAATTTGATCAATAATAATGTTGTTTTCTTTTAGATCATGGATCGGTCTCGAATTCAAAATTGAGATATATGTCTTGCAGATTGTGCCACAACTCATACTATACTCAAGGACAGAAAATATTTTGTCAACTTGAAATTAAATAAAGCAAAAGTAAACACAATATCTGGAAATGCAAAGATAATTGAGGGTTCTGGAAAAGCCATATTTTTTATGATGAGAGGTACAAAGTTTACATTGAATGATGCATTATTCTCCCCGAAATCAACAAGAAACTTGTTGAGTTTTAAAGATATCCGAATGAACGGATACCATGTTGAAACAATGAATGAAGGGGGAGTTGAATACTTTGCATTACCTCAAATGTTGCGGGAAATAAATATGTTTTGGAGAAATTGCCAGTTTTATCATCGGGCTTATATTACACCCGCCTTTATATTATTGAGACTTATGATGCAACAAAGTCACAGGCGAATGAAATGTTTAAACTTTGGCATGATAGACTTGGTCATCCTGGCTCGATAATGATGCGAAGAATTATTGAAAATTCTAGTGGACATCCGTTAAAAAATCAGAGGATATTGCAAACACATGAATTGACATGTGCCTCATGTTCTCAAGGGAAATTGATAATAAGACCATTACATACTAAAGTCGGGCATGAATCACCATTATTTTTAGAAAGGATTCATGGTGATATATGTGGACCTATTCATCTACCTTGTGGTCCATTCAGATATTTTATGGTGTTAATTGATGCTTCTAGTAGATGGTCTCACGTGAGTTTGTTATCCACTAGAAATGTGGCATTTGCTAAATTGCTTGCCCAACTTATCAAATTAAGGGCTCAATTCCCAGATTATATTATAAAAAGGGTCAGACTGGACAATGCTGGAGAATTTACATCTCAAGCATTTAATGATCATTGTATGGCAGTGGGAATTGATGTTGAACATCCTGTAGCACATGTTCACACTCAAAATGGTCTAGCAGAATCATTGATTAAACGACTGCAGCTTATAGCCAGACCATTGATAATGAGAACAAAACTGCCCACATCAGTATGGGGACATGCTATTCTGCATGCAGATAATCTAATTCGCATAAGACCAAGTGCACACCATACATAC